AACAAGGAGGACTCGGCAGACCACCCAGAACTCAGGCAGGTCGAGAAGGAGGCATCGGAAGCATTGGCCGCGATGAGGAACATGCGACAAATCGGGGCAGAGAATCTGGAGGCCGACAGCGGCGACGACGCTGATGAGGAGTCAGATGAGGAGCTGGGCTTGCGGTAGGATTGATGTGATCTGCGTGCAAACGGAGCTAACTTTATGTTTTAGCACAATATCCGAAGTCACGGCCCATCAAACACCTGAAAGACGAACTGGATTATTCTTAGGGTCCGGCGTTGGTATTGTCAAGGGACGCCAGTGCCTTCGTCTTCCAAGCCCCATCCTCAACAGCCCAAGCCCAGCGCCGCGAAAGCTGGGGAGTTTTTATGACGCCCTGAACAGATCTTTTCGGGACCCGCGCCATTAATCCGCCGCTTCGGGTCCGGGGGCCGGATATTTATAAAGATGTCTACATCGCAACAATGTGATAAAGCTCTTATCGATGAATTATAATCGGCAGTAATTACTTGAGAAACGGGAAAAGAAAAATAGCAATATTTCCGCTTTGAGGGATCGCATTGAACGGGGAATACAAGGGTGTAAACTAAATACACCTCGACCCACTTCTGAATGCCGTCGCCACTGGGCTTGAAGTAGCACTCGGCGTACCATGCGAGTGCCTCGCGCCGGCTCTTCCTCTTCTCCTTGAACTGGTTGGGGACGCCATTGCACTGGTCATTTGCCTCGGTTCTGGAGGAAGGAGCGTGAGACGGAGAGAAAATAGAGGGGGGGAGGAACTTACGCCGTGCGATACAAGCCGGGTTCCCGACCGATGATGACCACATACCAAACTTCGCCAGAACCGGGCGGGAATTCAACTTGAAGCTCGCTCGACGTTTTGGGGGTGCGGCGAACAAACAAGGGTGTGGCGTCGGCGGCGGCGCTGGTGTCGGACATGGCAGCAAGTTGGGCAGCGGCAAGTTGGGCGTCGGACGCGGCGAGTTTGGCAGCGATGGTTGGGAGCTTGGCTAAAAGAGACGTGAGTGGGGAAATTAAACGAAAACGCAGCCAGCTGACCTTGCACCTCCACCGAAAGGCGTGTGGCCTCCAGGGAGGCCGCGGAGAGTTGAGCTATGAGGGCGACCAACGCCTCCAGCTCTTGGGCAGGGGTGGGGGCGGTGGTCGCCGAGAGATCGATAGAGGTCATGGCGGGGAGAAGGAAGTTGTAGGGAGAAATGGGCGACAGGTAGATCTATCTGGCAAGATCTTTAATGTGAATGATGAAGCGGATGGAGAATGAAGCGCTCACCAATGCACAATCATGTGGTTGCTAGTTTTCTGATGGAACCTGAAGCATATGAGGTCCAAATCGAGCGGATCGTGGTTCGGGTGAGATTTCAATTTCTGTAGGAAAAATGTAAAACGTTGAGAGAAAAAATGTTAATGATTTGACGGTAAGTATGTGGAGGGGGCGCACCTGCGCTTCGGTTTGAGGGCAAAAGTGGCGCATTTTGTCGCAAAATAAATTTGCTTGGGGCGAGTGTGGACTATCTGCGTCAGTACCATTCCGCCCTCGCGCTCGCATCCTCCAGTCCGCGCGTCTCCTTCTGGTCTCCACCTCTGTCCCGTCCAAAGCCATGCCGAGGGGGCGAAAAAGTCAACTGCCGGCGGACCAGCTGGAATACCTCGAAGGTCTTTATGGCGAATTCGAGACGAAGCAGGCTGCGAAGGGCTTGCCGCCGTTTTGGGTCAAAGTCAAGCGAGGCTGGTTCGAGCGATGGCCAGTCGAGCCCGGCTTGAATCTGCCGTCGATGAGCGTAGGGGGGGTCATGATTGAAGACGCCGGCTTTTCTGAAGTGGACAAACTGGCAGTCGGTAAAGCTCAAGCCACAATGGGAGAGGTAAGCGCGGCTGGAGATGGAACCTATGCGTAGCGCGCTAACCGCATTGACATATAGATCATCCACAATTGGTACAATAACACCTCGGCGAGGAACAAACGGCTCGCAAAGGGCAGTGCGACGGGCCAGGGTTCTAGTGGCTCCGGCCTGAAGGAACTGCTCTTGAATTTGCACCAGAAGCGAGGGCGCAAGAACCAATGCGTCGAGATATGGCAGCAACTTCACAGCACTCAGATGGAGGAAGCGCTGCGGGCGGGGGGTTTCTACGAGTTGATGAGATTCGAGAAGGATGGCGAAACACCCGAGGAGCGCCGAGCGAGGATGAAGGCTGGGCGTTCGGCGCAGATGAAGATGCGGCGGGCAGTCGCGCAGAAACAACTTGACGAGGCGCCGGAGGAGGAACAGGCGGAGGTCGAGATGCGTTTCAAGGTGCAAGAAGCTAAAGATAAAGAGGGGGAGGCTGTGGGGAAGAGCTCAGGGGAGGAATATGAAGTGTAAGTGATTTTGACATGGCCAGCAAGCGTTTATTGACAGCAGGTAGGGGCATTAACAAAATGGGGCAAATGTTGCGGGACGTGCACACCGCGCTGGAGCAAGTGACAGGGTGGGTAGGTGCAACAGTGATGACGGGCCCAGTGCCGTCGCAGGCAGGAAAAGTTGGGACGCAATCGTGAGTCTAAATGTGTTTTCTCGCCATCCGTCGGCGCTAATTTGTTGATTGGGCGCTTATGACAGCTATTGCTTTGGCGTCACACCCGCTGGGAACACCTTCGAGCAATCCTTCCCTGACTGGGACCATGTCGTTATGGAACCACTGGGCGCATTTGGGAGGAGAGTGTTCGGTGCGTGCTCCTTCCATGGTATTGCTGATGTCCGACTGACTCGTGTGGGCGTAGACCGCAAGACTAGGCAAGAGCGCGCTATCCAGCCCGCAAGACTCGGAGAGGACGACGCCGCAGCTGTGGAAGACGCGACGCTAGCGACGGAACCCCCACGCGAGCCCTCGGTCAAGCGCATACGTGCCCCGCGCAAGAAGAAACCTGCGCCAGTGCCATTGGAGAGCGAGAGCTCGACACCAATGGCGGGTCCTTCCAGCGTAGGCCAAGGGGGTCCTCTCGACGACGATGACCAACATGGGTTCACCCGCAACGCCGATGACGACTTTCTCGCCGACTTTGCCAGCTTCGACTGGGAGGGGGCAGCAGCCGGGATTGACACCGACGCCTCGCTGGTGCTGCCGACTGCACCGCCTGACTTGAGTGGCCGCCCGCTCCCTCGACCCGCATACAAAGGAGCACCATACTCGCCCGCAACTGTGGGCGGATCCGCTGGATCTGCCAGTGCGTTCTTGAGCACCGACCTGCTGTCATTCCTACCGCCTTACGGATCATTGCCGATGCCAGACGAGGCAACACCCTCTTTCCAGCTCACTTCACTTTCATCCGAATCTCCCACGCAGGCGGAGTTGGTCGACCTCGTCTCGAATTTTGTGTACTCCTCTGTACCGGGGACTCCTACGCAACGTCTACATGTATCACCGGTCACCTCAACCTCTTTGCCATCCACTCCGTCGCTGGATTCGCATATTTTGCCGCAGGCACCAGGACCTGGGGTCCGGCGTACTGCGAGTGTGGGGACGCCTTCACCTTTGCAATTCGTGCAAACGGCGTCGACAGCTGCCACACCGGTGCGATCAGGCTCGAGCACCATGCCGACTCGGAGCCCATCCCTTGCCACACCAACTCGCAGCGTGCCGTCCCATGTCGCGGCACCCAGTAGTGCGACTGCTGCGCCTCGCGCCACCCCTGCGTCCACACCCCCGCCACGGATCGCGACCTCGAATCTCCTGAACGCCCAAATCGCGCCTCTCGCCACCCCCGCGTCCACGCCACCGCTGGTGGTCGCGACCTCGAGTTCCCTGAACGCCCAAATTGCGCCTCCCGCTACCCCCGCGTCCACGCCACCGCCGGTGGTCGGGACCCCAATTCGCTTGACCGTTAGTGTTGTGACTCCCGCCAGCACACCATGCCTTGCGTCCCCGACTACCATTGCGACAGCAGTGCCTGCCCCCTTGACAACGCCGCCACGTGTGGCAACACCGTCGGCTACGTGTCTTGGGACACCGCCGCGCATGGCACGCATCGCGTCAATGATGCTGAGGACAAGCCCACCTCCAAGTCTCACGACTCTAACACCCGACAACTTCCCGATCTCGCGTCCCATGAGCAATGCCCCGCACGACCCGACTATATCGCGCGGGCGTGGGCGCGGACGCGGAGGGGGGCGTGGGCGTGGACGCGGACGCGGAGCGGGGGGAGCTGCCGTCGTGCCATGGATAGAGGTGGAGGGGGGGCTAGATGCAGGAGGGCGTGGTGGGGAGGCCAAAAGGGGGAAGGGACGCCCGCGCAAGAGCGTAGAGTCCAGCGCGCTGTTGGATACCACAAACCAGGACGAGGAAGCGGGTGGAGAGCCAGTTTTGATTTATCGGATAGGCAACGGTGGAACGATGCGTTTTAACAGGGAGGTGGAGGCGAGGAAGAAAGAGGTGGAGGCGGCGAAGGAGGCGGAGGTCAATGCGCAGGCGGTGGCAAGGGGCTACTGGGAACTTCCCAACCCGAATGGAGAGACGCCCACAATCGTGATGCCGCGTATTCGCAAGCCAGCTCGCATGCCTGACGGTAGCGCGGCACCATCGATTCCGATTAAAGCGACGCGGGCGAAGAAAGCGGTGACGAGGCCGAATCCCCATGCGGCGTCTGAGGCGGCGCTGCTCGCGAGGTCGGCAACAGGTTCGAAGAAGAGGAGGGCGCCCGAGGAGGCGGAGGAGCCGCCAGCTAAGAAAAGGTGAGTGTCAGTCGTGATGTAAGCTTGGACTTGGCGCTGATTATTGCAGGGGCAGGCCTAGAAAGGATATGACGAGTTAGGGTGGGAGTGGGGCGGGTGCGAGGAGTCCTTCAACAGACGGAGGATTGCTGCTCCATCGGAGCAGTCGCTGCTCAACCAGCAGGTAGAATGTACTTAGTCGATGTGTGGACTTGTGGAAAAAAAAAAAAAATCTTGCCGTGTCGAAGGCTAGATGCGCACGTGGGTGCGAAGGGGATGAAAGCTATAAACGGTCGTCTAGCTTAACGGTAGAGCCCTGCAAGTGTTAGGTAACTGAAAGCACAAATATATAAGCAGGTGGTTGCGGGTTCGAGTCTCGCCGAGGCCAATTTCCGGAGGTCATTTTTTGATTTTCGATTTTTGAACTTTAATTTGTGACTTTGAAACGTTTGAGGCGCGTGTTCCAAGGCTTTCTGGGAAGATCCATGCCTAGTTGGTAGTGCATCGGTTTAACATTCGTCTTGAAAATCAAAACGTGTCCACCGGTGGCGCTGTTTCAAATCCACCTGGGGTCGTGGGCTTCTTTCTGGATGCTTTTGGATTCTATTTTCTCCCTTACGATTCTGGTGTTCGCACACGTAGCAAAAACGATTTTTCTGGTCATTGTGATCATTTTATTTTTTGTAAGGCATTAAATTAAGTAATTATATTCTTAAACGGGTCCAATGTACATGGTTGTAGCCGTGGAAACGAAAGCGGTCGGGATATTCAAGGTTAATGCCATGGGAAGGCGAGGGTACAGTAGCAGCCGTACCGGGGAAGCGGGGCGGGCGCGGGGCAGCAAACAGCGGGGCAGCAGGAATCCGAATAGCGGGCAGACGGGGGGTGCAGAGCGCTAAAGCTCAGGGCAGGCACAAGGTATGTACCGTGGTTAGGCGTGGGTCCAGTAGCAGCCGCACCGGGGAAGCGGCGCGGGTGCGGGGCAGCATGTGCCGGGGCGGCGGAAATCGGGATAGCGGGCGAACGGGGGGTGTTGAACACTAAAGCGCAGGGGAGACGTAAATTGCGTTACGGAGGAAAGTGTAGGTCCAGTAGCAGCAGCACCGGGGAAGTGGGGCGGGCGCAGACCAGCGAGCGCCGGGGCGGCGGAAATTGGAATAGCGGGCGAACGGAGGGCACGGGGTGCTAAAGCGCAGGGGAGGTGCAAGGTATGTGCCGTGGCAAGGCGCTGGTCCAGTAACAGCCGCACCGGGGAAGCGGGGTGAGCGCAGAGCAGCGAGCGCCAGGGCGGCGGAAATCAGAATAGCGGGCGAACGGGGGCCACGGGGTACTAAAGCACTGGGGAGGCGCAAGGTATGTGCCGTTGAAAGGTGCTGGTCCAGTAACAGCCGCACCGGGGAAGCGGAGCGGGCACGGGGTGGCAAGCGGCGGGGCAGCGGGAAGCGCAATGGCGGGCGAACAGGGCGTGGGGGCAGCTAACGCGCTGGACCAATGCAAGGTGCATGCCGCAGAAAGGCACCAGTCCAGTAGTAGCCGCACCGGGGAAGCGGAGCGGGCGTGGGAGGGCAGGGACGGTGTAGGGGGAGTAGGGAAGCGTGAGGTACAAACATGTATCAACACGTCAACACCATCATCAACACATCATCAAGATGATCAACGCTGGCGCGCTCAGTGGGTGACACAGCCACGCGCCTGGCGCAGGGCGGGAGTCGACGCCGCGGAGGAGGCTACCGGATTAGGAAGGTGACGTCAGGCACGTGCGCGCCTCTAAGATATATATAAGGACCCACCTCTAATCAGAGTGTTTTATACAATACGCACCACCTCTAAACCACAGCACTTTTATATATATAATCACCGTCTACGCCTGGGAGATTGATCTCGACGCTCGACGGACGCTTCTTGCGTGACGAGCAGGGGGACGAGTCATCCCGGTCCGCCGTCCAAGAGCGCCTTTTTTTAGAATGGCTACGAGCTCCTCATGACGCTGCCTAGCGTCTTTCTGACAATGGGATGAGTAAACGTGCGCCGCAGGGCAGGCACATCGCACCTGCATCTCCGCCATCGCCATCGCGGCGATAATCCCGGACTGGACCTAGGGATCTAGTTAGTCTCAACATGCCAGAACGAGCCAAGGAAGAGGTTACGCCGAAGATATCCATTGCGTGCTTCAAGCCTGTAGTGCATTCTGTGGTGAGGTCCGCATCCTCCATAGACCGAAGGAGCCTCTGCCAGAAACCGCCTTTCACCTGACCCCGCACGAAGGTGAGAATTTTCTCCAGCGTCCTAGAAGGAATATGGTTAGCGTGCGGGGGCCTTAGGAAACGACCAGGACATACTCGGAGAACTGGATGATACTACGAATCATAGCAGGCGCAAGATCTGCATCAGAGTCGCGGCAGATGTTGATGATGTTGCAGACAACCTCGAAAGCTCGCTCCGTCATTCTGACACAAGCTAACCGAAGATTCAGTATTATCGGGATTTAGTAAGTTAAGGACGACTCACTCTCTTCGTTGTCCTTCACCCGCTGAGAAACAGAGTTACCGTCGGACGGCCGTGGTGAAGAAAGTAACAGTGAATGGCTCACCTGAACCGTTTCGATGATCAGGAGCGACAGACTGGCTACTGTTTGCAGACAGGGTTGATTGGAGGCATTGCCGATGTCTTTGAGGAGGGTGCAGGCCACTGTCCCGTACCGAAAAACACGTTTCTTGTCGGTCTTCCGGCGAATGGGGGTCTTGAGTTTGAGCCGATTGCGACGCTGGGAGCCGTCGTTTTGAGGTGAGGCCTGGCGCTCGTGGTGAGGAGGGTTACTCTCATCGGACAATTGGCCGGTGTATCGATCTCCTCAGAATTATGCACGGAAGATATGCCCCAAACTCACGTGGCTGAAAGGGTATCAACAATACGGGCCTCGTACTGGGATGGAACCAACTCTCGAAAATTTTCGGCCGTCGCAACGGTCCACAACCGAGGCAGAACGTCCTCCGTCTTTGGCCTGTGGAGTAGAGTAAGTGTTGAATTTAGCCACACAAATTAACATACTGTCGCAAGGGTTGAAGTACATGGCACAGGTTCGGGTACCAAGCCTCACCGGTTAGTGCTGAGGAAGTTCCATCTGGAAGCCAAGTCTGCATCCGGACCAATAAGATCTCGCAAAGGATATCGACGCCTTCGATGTCCGACGTTACTGCCGGCGTGAATTCATCGGACCGTTCCGAGTCCAAGTGGAGATCTTGGAGGAGGAGTGTGGCTCGTTCGAGTAGCTTCTGAACGACGGCTCGATACATCATCCCAGATTGTAGCCAGAAGGATGGCAAGTCCAGAATCCCGCCTAGGTACCGAATAGCGATGAGGCGCGAAAAAGTTGAGCTTCCCCTGCACATGAAAGTTGAGAGAAATTGCAAAGATGATGCGCAGGAAACTTACTCGCAGTCAGATGCAACCAATATTCGTTCAAGTATGCTGAGGCCTGTGCACTGCTCCAGGACGGACCCAAGGCTTTGGATCAGACTGTCCTCGACCATGGAGGAAATATCCATGTCAGCCGTGCAGGCGGCTGCGAAATTGCGATGAAAATGCCACTGATCTCCGCAGATGCCATCGGGCCGATCCCATAGCAAGGCAATATTGCTTTCATGGTTCCCGGCAATTTGAAAACTCTCGCGATCTAGAAAGATGCATCTGAGGCCAGGATACCGGGTGGTGAGGGCGACTAGACACTTGAAGGCTTCGAGTTGCGTGCTGGAGGTCTCCGAGCTGTCTGTTCGTCAATCAGATGTCCCTCGACAACGGGAGTACTCACGGAAGTGCGTACTGCACGAGTCTTCCACAATCCTTCTCCAACTTGGGCGGGATTCCATCTCGCAGTTGGGCAAGCGCAGATTCTCGTTGCGTCCCGTCTCCGAGAAAGATACGAATACGCTCGGCTACTGCAGCGGGTCCAAGACCCAAAGTGTGGGCAGCTCGATTGGCGCGCTTTTCAGCCCTGTCGCCGAGAGTGCAATATATCTCGTGTAAGGTTTTACCGGGCCCAGTGAAGGACGTGGGGACCAGCACTCTGGGGGAACGAGGAAGTACTGGGAGTTGAATCGTAGGTATAAGCACCAGTGAATCTCCAGTGTAAGAAGGCTCCATTTCGAGAAGATCCGAGCTCCGACTCGAGACCAAATTCGAGGCACGAGGGATGGATTCCACCGGTAGATACGAGGAATAGACGTCCAGGAGAGAGTCTCGTCTGCAAAGCTGTTACATCGCCCGGAAGTTCTTGAAGTTGTCGTGATGAGAAGGTGATAATCAAGGAAGTCTCGATGCCCAAGGTTAAAACATGTGCATAACGGCATTTCCTCCTGGGCAAAATTCTCACCGGCGACGACTGGCCAAAACCAGCAACAAAAAGCGGATGAGCTTGGAATGCTTCTGCAGACTGAGATTCATTACTATCAACCACCGGGAACCTGGCCACCTTAAGAGTCTTCGACCATTACTAACCCCTTTGAGGTCTTTCGGAGGGTCCGAGTGTTTGAGATGGTAGGCGTTAATCCAGTGAACAAGTGAAGCCCATTTATGCCAATTTTGGTGATGTTTTGACTGTGTGGTGAATTTATTTCGGTCAAAACTCCCAGATAGGCAATTGACACGGTACCTAGCCACCTGCCCAAATCCATTGTTGCCGGCTCAATCAATAACTTCAAAGTGTATAATAATGTTCAGGTGATGTAGATGATATAATGTAGCCCTTAAAATGTTACACTGGACCCATAAAAAGGGTAGCACTGGGTGCCTCTGATGAGAAGGATGAGCGGCGGGATCCATATTGCTAATCAAATGAGGGCCGCGCGGCAGTGAGAGGGCGCGCTTGGCCAAAATAAGCTGTAGGTAAATTTATCTACTTGTTATGAACGCACCTGGACCATCTGTTCCATATTTGAGTCGCACTTCTGAGAACCCGACATTTAAACTTTGTTACCACGGAAAACCGGGGTATTAGCGTATCGGACGAGATTGAGAGAGGTATTAAATAAATAGAATTAAGGCATACATGTACAAATGAAATCTTAATCATCATCATGGCCCATGTAAAGTGCTAGACACGTAGTGTGGAAGAATCTTTTGCTATGTGGGTCGCTGTGTTGGGGTACTCACAGTCGTATCGCAATCATATGTCCGAGTTTAATATAGAAATCGTGCAGCTCTGGAGGTCTTTTCATTCTCAAGAGAAAGCCTGAGATCAGCCGAGAAGAACGAGCCCCTGAAGTCGTGGATGGACGAAGAATTGGTGGAAATATAAGCAGATATAAACGAGATGGCCACTCGGAGTTAAGAAAATGATTTTCTCACCCCTCGGCCCGCAATCAAACGCGCCACAATTTTCGATCAACTCAT